TAAAAATGGTTATTTTGGGTCCGCTTAATTTCGCTGTTCATCTGTTTTTTTGAGCTGCGTGGCACTTTTAGGAGCACAGTCTTCCTTCTCCGGAAACAGCATTTCATAACAAACTAGTAATTTACGTTGTTTCATCGGGCAATCTTTGGTCAAAATTTAAATTTAGTGTATAAAATTGCATTTTATGGTATAGAGATGGATCGTTAAATTAGAATTTTGAATGATATAATTATTGTCGGGTCCGCTTTTTCTCGATGTTTATCTGTTTTTTGAACAATTTGTTAAAATCCTTGGTTCAAAGCTTAAAGTTGCAGGTTTTTTTGTATAAGTAACTATTGAAAAAACAGAATTTTGAAATTGAAAAGGAATCGGTTGGTTATCTTGGGTCCGCGTATCCTCGCTGATTCACGCACTTCTTGCGTGTTTTGACATTATCTGAATTAAAAGTAAAATATTGAATAGTGCTCCTATTGATATGAACTGTTTGTTACGGATTTGTTAAATTTGGGTCCGCTTTTTCTAGTTGATTTGTTTTTTGATTTGTTTCCAATGTACCAGTAGTATAACTATAATTATTATTAATAAGGGAATTTAATTTACGTGGCTAAATTGGAAAAAAATGGTTCGGAAGGAAATTTATAACCTTTGGTGCGCGTATTCTCGCTGTTTTTCTTTATTCGCATACGTTTTTATAATTCCACTATATTAGAGGAAGTCATTAGCTTTGACTTGAAACATTCTTTGTTCATTATCAAAAAAAGATAATCATAAATTTAATTTGTTATTGATATTTTTATTACCTTTTATATCTATGTTGTATCTCGATTTTAAAACGTTTTTAACGAAAAGCTGGCTGTCTTAAGCGATTGCTGTCGACACAATGAGCTTTCCTCGGCAACTGGCAAAAGTAGAAGACGCGAGACCCCAAGAACCCCCACTTTCAAAGCTTTCCTCCAGTACCACCCTTCTGAGGGAGAGATAGAAAAGTCTTCTTGAAAAATAATCCTGTCAAATAATTTCCATCGGATATTTACCTGCGTAGAGTAACAAAAGCGAAAAATTATAAATGTATATATCTTAATCGCCGTGTTATGGGATTCCCTAGTGTTTACTAATTTTGTAGTGAAAAATAAATTTGTCATGATCCGTCTGTAATCGTGTCTAATTAAGACATTACCAAATATTTAAAAAGAGAGAAAGGCACTTTCCCGTGTGAACGATCGCCCGTACTTCGCTTCCGGCTGTGTCGACTATGAAAAGTCCCTCAGGGGTGAGTTTTATTTGTCCATTACGCCACCGAGTAGTGTCTCGAAAGGGTTCTACGTAATTAACTCGGTGGTGACTTTTCACTAGCAGTTGAATTACAACAAAACTCGGGGTATAAAGCAAACAGCTAAAACTGGCTGAACAATTAAAATAAAAGTCTCTCAAATACTGGCCGAACTAAGCTCCTTTCTTATGAATTGAACAACTGCAGAACTGGACCTGTCGCGTTTGAAATAATTAAGTTAACTAAACATTTAATTCCTAGACAGCTTTTTGATGTTGAAAATATAAGTAGAGAAATATTTGTTGTGTTATTTGAAATTTAAAGTTAATATAATATTGAGTTATTTCAATGCAAATAGGTACTGAAATAGTTTATTTAAAAAAATTTGTTTTTATTCCTTTGTACCCATTTGTATAATCCTTATTGAGATCGGTATAAATTAACAAATAAATTAACACTTTCATTCTCATTGAAATCTCTTTCTTTACTACTTTCTAGACAATCGAATAACAACAGTTAAAAAAAAGTTACAAGGTTGATTTTACCATAAATATATGGTATATGAAATTGTAAATGTAATGATGGCGGATCAAGGTTGTTTAAAGTTAGATCGGCAATAAGACCACAAAAAGAAACAAGAAATGTCCAAGAATACTTTGCTTAATAGAGTAAAGTCAATAACAAATAAATCTCAGAATTTTTCGTTTAAACTTGTTAATTATGAAAAAATAAAATGAAAGAAATGAACAACCGAACAAAATAATAATAGAAAATAGTTGCAAACGTCTTTTCTAATAATAATATTTAAACTTAAATAGGACTGGGTTGATCGTATAAAATATATTAAAAAATAACATAAAAATATATTGTATTTAGAAAATAAAGAAAGAAACGAAATTTGGTAAAAAATAACGAGAGAACAACAACAAAAATAATTGGAAACTTTTTTTTATTGACATTTCAACTATAAAAGACGAAGGATTGTTAATTAAAAAAGACAAAACAGAGAAAAGAAATTGGAAGAAAGATAGCAGAAGAAGCATAGTAAAATAACTGTTCCACACATTTTTTTTATTTATATTCACCTTCTATAGACTCAAATTATTTTTAAAAAATTATATGATATAAAAAAATTCCAAGAAAATAAAATCAAGAAAGCTAAGATTTCTAATTGAAATAAAAAAGATAAGAAAGAAACGAAATTTGGAAAAAAGATAACGGAAGAACAACATTTTTTTAAATTGACATTTCAATTTACAATTCAATTCTTGGACTTTGAAATTGTTAATTAAAAAAGACAAAACAATGACGCTGTTAATAAGGTTCGCATGTTCTTAAAGAAGCTGTTTCGCCTTCCAGTCTAGAGCCCGTCTGCGTTTGTTTATCTGGAAGTCTAATCTGACTCGATTTTCTTCTTCAAAATTAAACTGATTAAAAATTAAATGTACTAAAGCTGCCAAGATACAGATGGACCAAAATTATAGCATTGTATTTAATTGAAAAGAACCTTGGTTCAGAGATCTTGTCGAACTGGTGGCGACCTGTGATGTCATGTTAGAAAAGATAATGTTAAAGCCATCTCATTTCATTAGATAGCTCAAGTGGTAGAGCAGCAGTGTATTTAGCCGAGGGTCATGGGTTCGAATCCCGCTCGTGACACTGACTTTTTTATCTCAACCAATAGCTTATATAAAGATTAATTAATTGAAAAATGTTATTCGGTCAATCGGACAACGAACTCTAATGAATTAATAAACATTTTGGAGATCAAATTTTACACAAAAATCATGTTTTGAACTTCACAGTAATTCTTGATAATGACGTCAAATTAGTAACCACAGATTGCTTTCTAAATAAACAATTAACTAGTGCTTAAATTAATAAATAAACTTCATCTCAACATCAATATGTACTTGATTTGGTTACATTGACTATATTACATTTTACAATTGCAAATTTTTTTTTTATATGCATAGCAAGAAATAAACTAATTAATAGGCCAAGAAGTTTAATTGAACACCTAATTATATTCAATAAAACAACCGGAAAACGAGTAGCTGGAGATTAATATTGAATATTTTTTCTCATTTTTACATGATGAAATGGGATAATTTTGAAATTAAGATGGAAACAGAACAACGCGAATTCATATCACAAAAATTTGACGATCGATTGTTAACATAAAAGAAAGTCCGTTTATCATGAAAAATCAAAAATTTAAAATTACTGACAAACTTTAAACTAACATTAATAACATTTTGGAAATCAAATTTTACACAAAAATCATGTTTTAAACTTCACAATTATTCTTTTTATATGACGAAAAATTAGTAACCACAGATTGCTTTCTGATTTATTACATTTTACATTGTAAATTTTTACTTTTTTTTAATGCATAGCAAGAAATAAACAAATTAATTGGTTGAATAAGTTTAATTAAGCACCTAATTATATTCAATAAAACAACCACGGAAAACGAGTAGCTGGAGATTAATATTGAATAATTTTTTAATATTTTTAAATTTTGAAATTAAGATGAAAACAGAACGACGCGAATTCATATCACAAACATTGGACGATCGATTGTTAACATAAAAGAAACTCCGTTTATCATGGAAAGTCAGAATTAAAGTTGAACATAAAAACAATAATAAAATATTTTGTTTTATTTTGTATAAACGAAATTTAAAGGATTTATAATCGTGGATTCTTAAGAAGATTTTCGTTCGTTCTATCAGCGTTTTACTCTTTTCGGATTCTTCTAAGGAACTAGGATTATTCTAGCCGGGTAGCTCATAAAATTTACAACGAGGAAATTGCCTCTCGTTTAAAATTCAAACTGAGTTTTCCAGAGGCTTGGCTCTTTATTCAGAGATGAGCTTTGTTTGTATAACAGGAGCTTGGGGCCATTTACTGAATCCCAAACGAATCCCTAAATTCAACCAATGCGACCAATTTCGTCTTATTGAGTTAAATCCATCAAGAGGACTTATGATAACTCGACCATTGCACAGCTGAGTTATTCAAAAAAGAGCCGAGAGATGATGGAAATAGAATATCCGGACAAACACCGAAATCGGGCAGCATAAAAGACACACGGTCTATTTTTTATGGTAATCTTAGTACATTAACTGTTACAATGCTATAAAATTGAAAAGATGATCCTGATTCGCAGAATGGGAACTTAAGACCCTGATTTTATTTTCGTTCTTCAAAATCTTTTGTTTCATGGCTGTCCTAAGCTATAAAATAATCAAAATATCGCCGTGGGCGACTGGGATATGAGCGATCTAGCTTGATGTTATGTAACCAGAAGCACTTTCTCCTATCCGGTATTTTAAAAATGCGATCCAAGGCCCACGGGCTGAGTTCACTTGAGATCATCCTTTGTGTCTTCGGAGGATAAAGGACGAACCTTTGCCTATAACTTTCAAACGAAAAGAAGCCCCGGATAAATCAACTGTGTTAATTTTACAAAATATTAAAATTATATTTGAAATAAACAGTAATAATTTATTATATAGTAAATTAAGATAAAACATTGCATAGAATAAAAAAAATTCTATCATGAAACAAGAGTTCGCCAACGCGAAGAACTTTGATTATTTATAACAATTTTGATAAATACTGGACGATGATTTTCAAAAGGTCGAATACTTACAGCTTGTAAAGCCTACTATATAATAATAATAAGCTTATAATAAACTTTTTTAAACAGATAGTCATACGAGTCGAGGATTAAATTCTTGACGTCAATGGCCGAAAGAATCACTGTCCTGAGCATTTTAGGGCCGGTTTTTCCCTCCGGGTCGGCCCGGTGGAAAAGGTTTATGCGGTTGGATGAACGTCCTGGGAAAAACCCAGCATCATACATCGGCCCAGGTGAGCGGTGAGACCGTAATCAAACTTGTTTACCAACAATCGGCGTTCCCGAAGTCCAGGAACTTGCCCTTGCTTTCGCGAATATAACTACTCAAAGTCCCTACTTTGTTTCTAAGTAAACAAAACCGCACAAACTCATAGCTTATTATTAGAATTTTTACCTGGAATAGTAAACAGGAAATTCCGCGATGACTTCAAGATTTAATCGAAGTTGAATAAAAAATTGAAATATGTTTCTTTCCCGTCCAAAAGTATATAAACAACTATACACCTAGGACAACTTGATTGCATACAACAAATCATAAATATCTCAGCGTTCGGTTTACATGTAGGATTTGGAAGAATATCACATTAATCCTTTCTCGATAATAAAAGATAAAACTGATATTACACAGCTCATCTACCATAACAGTAATGAACGAACAAGTTGCATCGAATGGCCATGAGTTTGTCAACTTTGGCATAATTAATAGCAAATTCCGCAAAAATTAAAAAATCGTCATATGGACAAAATAAACGCACCACCCCCAAACGAAACCCACCACAAATTCAATATGCTATAGGTGCATATAAAACACCTCATACCTGAAAAATATAAGCCATAATTTGTTGACATTTTGAACATTAGTAGTTATTAAATCCATTGCAGTTGTCCGATTGACCAATTAACATTTTACAATTAATTAATATTTATGGAAGGTATTGGTTGAGATAAAAAAGTCAGTGACACGTGCGGGATTCGAACCCACGACCTTTGGCTAGATACGCCGCTGCTTATATACTATATTTAAGTATATTTACGTTTTTCGAACATTAAGAACAAAACAAACAGCTTGGTCATTCCACCCCGAACGCATGCGAAATCTAAGAACGACATTCAATATTCATTCACACAAATAAATACATTCATACCTATATACATTGCTTTCAATCTATTTGGAGATGGTGTACTCAATATACTACTATCAACCTGAATTCAATAACTAATTCAAACTAATTTAATTGGGTCGATGGGGGTACTTTTTTAAATATTCTCCCTTCAACCCAAGTCTCGTGCACAGCTCGAGTGGCCATAGGGATACGATTTCACCATCAGCCCCTCCCCAATTCACTCTAATAAATACACTCACTCATACAAAACTCAGAAACGCAAATATTTTGACGACGATGTTTTCTTATATTTCGACCTCAACAGTTTAACTTATTTAATTTAAGGTTTTAAGTTGAGATAAAAAAGTCAGTGTCACGAGCGGGATTCGAACCCTCGACCTTTGGCTAGATACGCCGCTGCTTGTATACTATATTTACGTATATTTACGTTTTTCGAACATTAAGAACAAAAGAAACAGCTTGGTCATTCCACCCCGAACGCATGCGAAATCTAACAACCCACATTCAATACGCGTTCACACAAATAAATACATTCACACCTATATACATTGCTTTCAATCTATTTGGAGATGGTGTACTCAATTAAACCACCATCAACCTGAATTCAATAACTAATTCAAACTAATTTAATTGGGTCGATGGGGGTACTTTTTTAAATATTCCCCCTTCAACCCAAGTCTCGTGCACAGCTCGAGTGGCCATAGGGATACGATTTCACCATCAGCCCCTCCCCCATTCACTCTAATAAATACATTCAGAAACACAAATATTTTGACGACGATGTTTTCTTATATTTCGACCTCAACAGTTTAACTTATTTAATTTAAGGTTTTAAGTTGAAATAAAAAAGTCAGTGTCACGAGCGGGATTCGAACCCACGACCTTCGGCTTGATATGCCGCTGCTCTACCACTTGAGCTATCGTGACCTCGATCCACTCGGACACTAACTTCCCATCTCAACCCCACCATTGAATTTTCCCTCCTGTTTGCCATTTTTGAAATGTCGTGTAATCTATTTGATTCTCGGCGACAAATGAAATGGCCACGGAGAGCTTTCGTGACGCTTCAGTTTAATTATTAAATCCATTACAGTTCGTGATCCGATTGACCAATTAACATTTTTCAATTAATTAATCATTATGAAAGGTATTGGGCGAGACAAAAAATGAGTTTGACGAGCGGGATTCGAACCCACGACCTTCGGCTTAATATGCCGCTGCTCTACCACTTGAGCTATCGTGACCTCGATCCACTCGGACACTAACTTCCCATCTCAACCCCACCATTGAATTTTCCCTCCTGTTTGCCATTTTTGAAATGTCGTGTAATCTATTTGATTCTCGGCGACAAATGAAATGGCCACGGAGAGCTTTCGTGACGCTTCAGTTTAATTATTAAATCCATTACAGTTCGTGATCCGATTGACCAATTAACATTTTTCAATTAATTAATCATTATGAAAGGTATTGGGCGAGACAAAAAATGAGTTTGACGAGCGGGATTCGAACCCACGACCTTCGGCTTAATATGCCGCTGCTCTACCACTTGAGCTATCGTGACCTCGATCCACTCGGACACCAACTTCCCATCTAAACCTCACCGAATTTTCCCTCCTTTTCGCTATTTTTCAAATGTCGTGTAATCTATTTGATTCTCGGCGACAAACGAAATGGCCACAGAGAGCTTTCGTGAAGATATACTTCAGTTTAATTATTAAATCCATTGCAGTTCGTGTTCCGATTGACCAATTGACATTTTTCTATTAATTAATCTTTATGGAATTAATTAATATTTATGCGTTTCCGAGACTTCCTCAAAATGGTCTTGTGATGGAAACCGAGAACTTTTCAATGAAAAGCTGCATACTGCTTGCTGTTGACCAATGGCCTACCTGATTAAAATATGTCTATGCTACAGGTGACCTTTGGAGTGATACTATCGTGATTTATTCTTTAAATCCATCGTAGTTAGGTAATTAAAAAATGATGGGACAAGTCAAACTTTTTCATACCAAAAAAAGATTGTCCAATCGTTCAAACTACAAAACATACTACTATATTAAAAAAAAATATTAGGATTTTATTGTTGATGTATGAATTTATTTCTTGGTTTTTAAAGATGTCTAGATGTCTTGTAATGTCAGACAATTAACTGTCCCTGTTGAACTGAACTCAAGAAATAAACAAACAGGTTAGTAGTTTTCCATTGTTTAAATTGTTTCCCTGTTTATGGGTTTAGAAATTTCCAACAATATTATACAAATTAATATTTATAAGTAGTATATTATATATGCAACAACATTTAAATAACAAACTATTTAAGGAATAAAACAGTCATTTTTTTAAATTATTATTTCTATGCACAGCAATGTTTGATAATTTATCTGCAATTATCTAATTAAATAAATTCAACAAATGAACGAATGAACTGTTCCATTATTTTTTTACATTTCTTCCTTTAAAAAAATGAAATTTCCGAAAAACATCTTAAACTCAAGTTTTTGGTGTATAGCTGTTTTTTTTTCTAAACAAAACCAACACGTCCTATATTTTCTTGCCTCAGAATTATAAAAATCACAATAAAGTACAATTATATATTGTCTTAATTATTGATAATCTATGAATGTATCAACGTCTTACTTTTTTTAAAATATTTGGACATTGTGTCTTATGATTTGAAGTCAATTACCTTTCCATTTTGAACTTTAAGAAAAAAACAAACTACTTAGTATTTACCTGTTATTTGTTTCCTTTAGTTGGGCCTCTTTGAAAAAAAAAATTGGAATTTTACAAATCAGTCAGGTAAAAAATGATTATTTAATCGTTTATTACTTGTAATTTTTTAATTACGTGCCTATTTGATTACAATTCATTTTATTTATAAATATAATATTTTCAAGGTATAATATTTTGTCTTTTAAGAAGTAAATTTTTTGCACTTCTTTCATATTGAAATATACATAAAATTTAAAAAAATAAAGTTACCATATTCTGAAACAATTGTCTGATTACTCTCTTTCTCTCACTTATTCGTTTTCCTATCTCTTTCTCCTCTCTCTTTCTGTCAGTTTCGCTCTCTCTCCTCTCTCTTTGCTTCTCTCTCTCTTTTTCAGATTTATTCTCTCTCTCTCTCTCGCTCTCTCTCTCTCTCTCTCTCTCTCTCTCTCTCTCTCTCTCTCTCTCTCTCTCTCTTTCTTTCTCTCAGTTTAGCTTCTTTTATATTGAAATATACATAGAATTTTAAAAAATTAGTATTACCTATTGTATTTTGTTTTGAATTTATTTTTTTGCAAAAGTACAACCCAAATTCTGTAATAATTGCCTGAATACTCTCTCTCTTTTTCTCTCAATTTCACTTCTTTTATATTGAAATATACATAAAATTTTAAAGAATTAGTATTACCTATTTTATTTTGTTTTGAATTTTATTTTGCAAAAGTACAACCCAAATTCTGAAATAATTGCCTGATTACTCTCTCTCTCTCTCTATCTCTCTCTCTCTCTCTCTCTTTTTCTCTCTCACTCTGTCTCTCTCTCTCTCTCGCCCTATCTCTTTCTCTCTCTCTCTCTCTCTCTCTCTCTCTCACTCTCACATAAAAGAAATACTAATTTCAAAATATGTACAATCATCTCCTGCGCCTATCAAATTATATTTACAAAAATCTTACTTTTTTATTATGTGTTGTTTTGGTTTTCAATTTAAATTTAGTACTTTTTCTTTACCAAATACTCCTTTATAAATACGTTCACGAATGTGGTTACTATATAATTATATATTTTTCACGTTTTTAATTTTTTTTTCTTTGCGTATCTTCTTCAAGATTCTATGTTTATTCATAATTTTGTTTTTAATTATAGTTATTCTAAGTTGAAATTATAGCAGAATTAAGTTAGGTCAAATATATTGTATTATTGTACTATATTTTAAATTTAGTAAAACTGATTAAATTTAGTATTTTACTAAAACATACATATTATGTTCCATAATCATTTTGTTTGTCACCGAACTCGACAATTGACGTAAGAAAAGTAAATATGACCTAAACCTGCAGGTATTATAAATAAAGCGTGCCAAATAATCATTATCGAAATATATTCTTCTTGAATGA